CCACCCAGCCTGTAGTTGTCTTTGGGATGGCCATGACCCAGAAAAAAGGGATGTGTAAATCAGAGAGGATGTCTGCCACAGAATGATCAGAGACAGGTAGAGGCATACAGAAAATGAGGTAAAGCTTCATATTAAAAATACTGTGTCTGCCTTAAGTCCAGAATAACATAGGTTAGAGACAAATCTAGGTTTTATCATCTGTAGTTGGTGACTCTGGATTACAGACAGTAGCTAAATTAATATTTGCAAATGCTGTCAGGCCCATAGGTCAGTTAACATGGAAAGTGTGATGAGAATTCAGGACAGAATGCTGTGGATGAAAACATTGAAGATGTGTACCCTGTAAAGCACAGATTGAAGGATAAGGGGGAGAATAACAGATGAAAGGAAGTTGTACTACAGTATCCACCTTTTCCATTATTTTAGCCATTCAATCCAATTATTTAATTATTTAGATCAGCAGCAGTAATGCATTAAACAATTTTTGCACTCTTGTGGTATTTGCCCAAATACTTGATGCAGTGGAAAGCCTCCATTGAGTTAAACTGGCTCTGAATCAGTCTCTCTCCAACCATCTCAAATCTGACAAACAATATACTTTTGCCTTATAACATTCTCAAAAAGCAATTTTCCTAAATGAAATAAGCACATCTAAATATTGTTAGCACTCATTAACTAGTAAGTCAACAGTTAGTTAACTAATTAGCATTTCTGTGCTCCCCGGAGTCAAGTAATTTATTATTTTAGAAATCCTCCTACCAAGTAGTGATGCAAGCATATGATGCCTTAGAAATATATTTTTATTATTTGAAAATGAGAAGGTGTAATAGATTATGTTTTTAGAAACAGTCTTGTTTGAAAGTCAGAAAACGAAGAGCCTGTTTTGATTATGAACTTAATTGATTTTTGAGCCCTAAATATGTGGTTCTATTTGCACGCAACTGCGTTCTTTATTTCAACAGAGCTGGTTTAAACTGTGTGAATCAACTTCTCAGATTCCTTTTTATGCAGAGCATGGGGATTTTTATTTGAGATAGACCAAAGTTTCCCTAGCTGTTTTTTATCTAAGAGGAGGAAAAAATGTACTCTGGCTCTGCTCTTCCATTTTCAGTTTTTTCTCACAACCAGTATTATGGAATGTGGAAGAGATGACTTGGCCTTGGAAGCCATATTGCAATTACAGTAGTTTAATTTATAATAATATGCCAGACTAACTTTCTTACAGTAGTAAATTTTACTTATGTTCACTAAGAAATTATTTTAAAAGTGTTATGTGTTCTTGAGAAGACTATATTTACATTTAGGCAAGCTGATTTTTGGTACACAAAATGAGAATATGTTTTATAAGTGTCTAGTTCCATAGCTCACAGATCATGTGCTTACTCAAGTGGAATAGGTTTTCCTTTTTCCTACGGCAATAAATACTTCTCTATTCTTGTGAAATATTAAATTTTATACTGACATTATCATTTATATTTTACTAAAATACAAAAAGTGAACCAATGAAGGGGGTGGAGGTTATCAAAGGATTAACACTGCAGAAATGCAAACTTGAAAATGCAGTTAACAGAGCAAGCTGCTCATAAGACATTTTTCTGGTAATAAGGGGTTTGATTAATTCACCCAGGTAATGGCTGCAGTAGCTGAAGGCCCTGCCCTTGACTTTTTGTTGTCCATCCCCTCTGCTGTAGCTCACTGCCCCTGCAGCTATGTGAGGAGATGAGAAGTGTGCCCAGCTCTGAGCTGCCTCCCCACCCCTGTAGCTCCTCAGCTCAGCTCTTCCTCCACCTCCAGTTTACACCAAGAAGCCAAAGTCTGCACTGAAGGGACCAGCGTGGGCATGTCAGCTTTCTCCTGACAATGCTGCTGTGGGCAGTGTTTCTCAACACAAGACAGCTATCACTGGCTAGGAAACGCTTTAACCAACTCCTAGATTTGCCACAGTCATTTGGCAAAACCTCTGCTCACTGGTTATCCTCCTTTAACACTC